CAGGAGAAGACCATTTCACACATGGGCAAACTGAGGTCCAAAGAGTGACAAAGCAGGGCTTGAAACTAAGTAGAGCTGACACTGGAGCCCAAATTCTTTCCACAATTCTATTTTCTCCATCTTAGAAATACTCTCTTACACCTCAGAGAAAGTCTTAATGAAAAGGTATCAGAGAGCGCCGGTTTTGCTAAGCCCCTGCGAATTCTTCTACCTCACAGGAAGGTAAATGCAGCTACTCTGAAAGAAAGGCTATTTTTAAATTTTACTGTGGCCCTGCAGCATGCCTGAAGTGCTCCTGTGTGGAAGACACATGCCCAGGGCTTCTTTCCGCATGCTAGGAGTTAGGATTTTAGGGATGTGCCCCCTTTTCGATGGCGCAGAGTGAAGGTAGGGGTGAGGGGACCCACCAGCTTGGAAGACGCTTTCAGATGGAGTTTAGTCCAGCCTCCTGCCCCACTGCTGTACTAGCTAATGTCTACTCACTGCGCCAGACAGGCGTCTCTATCTAGGGAGCCTCATTCTGACGCTAGGGAGAGTTGAATCTATTTGTAGCATGTCTGTCGTTCAGCTGCATTGATCAGAAACCCCACATGTATGTCAGAGTGGGAGGTGGGGCTGGGAGAGAGCTAATCTGTTGCTGGCTTCAGGCCTGTGTACTCGTTCAATCAATGCACCCAACATCCACTGAACATCTCCCACATCCCAGTTCTCTAAGAGTGCACGGCTGCCAAAGGGAACACAGGAGAACACCAGAAATGACCCCTCCATCAACTCATGATGCTCGTTCAACAAATTTCATCCTTCAGATGGAGAAAGGTTTGACCCGAGCAATAACACTCCTTTCCACAAAAAAGTGGTCTTTCATCACCAGGACAAGCATTCTCTGTGACCCTCAGTACATTGGCTCTTAACCACAAGCTGTCAGAAAAGTACCGCCCAGCTGTCCCTCACCCCGTTCCCCAGGATAGAGTCAGCAAAATGTACTAACTGATCTTTTGGAACTGAGGGAAGTCTCAAATTAAACAGTTAAAAGGCATTTTGTTCTGCCTCGAAATTTGGCCATCTTTCCCTTGGTCCAGTAAAATCCCGATGTTTGGAATTTATGATCCTTTGGACAGGGACTGGGCTGAAGTCTGCTTCTGGACTATTCTGCATAGAAAGGATTTTTTGAAGAAAATTAATAGCGTGCCAAAAGAATTGTAAAGGGAATGCTTACTCTATTTACCGGGGCCACTATTCTAACCCTTTACAAATACTCATGTATCTGCAAACAATTAATGTGCTAATTTCAAATGATTTTTACATGTTCATTAAGTCTCCAGCTACAAGTATTCGTCGATATATTATGCTTTGAGCTGGCTTCAAACACTAGGTTTTCACTGAGCCGAAACTTCTTACGTACCAACTTTTCTGAACTAAGTCATTAACAAAGGGAATTAAGTTAATACCAAGCAGCACGACTTCTTTGGTGGTGATGAAAGAGGTCACTGTGCTGCACGTAGCTTCCTGATTCATGTTGGCTTCCATCCAGTTGATACAGGCTGAGGTTGGACTATGATGACCCTCAGCCCATTTGCCTGGGATAATCTCTGTTAGATTTTTTCCATCTTGAAACAATTCCTAACAACAACCCTTTTGCATTCATAAAAACTTCTTGATATGGGCTATAAATTATACAGTCACTGTAGATTTGATAACACAACTTCGAGTTGTGCTTTTGCAAGGAGTTGGAGTTTTTTCTTGACTAGCAATACCTAGTCTTCTTTATACAAACCAAAAGAATAGTCCATAAGGATGTTGTACCAATCGATTCAGAATCTTCATAGTGCCCCTCCCCTAACTAAACAGTCAGATGAGAAAGCAGCTAACTTTTCCTGGGGAAAGAAATTAGAGTTCTACCCTCCAGTTCACCCCATGCATCAATTCCATCTCAATGTACTTGCCTGTCAGAAGTTGAAATCTTGAAATGTTCACTGTCAGCTTATTTGAAAGAGAAATGGGGTAAGCATGGAAAACATAATACCAGAGGAACTGTTGACTTCCGCTTTCTAGCTGTTATTCTTTGTTATAGGAACAATGTCTAATAGACAGCCCCACCCCACCCTCCAAGGGTAGAGAGCGTTTTAACTGACTCAATCCTCACAGGGCACTGTCTCCAGTGGCAAATACTACTTTGCTTCTCAAGCTGACTCAGAGAGGTAAATCCACTTGCTCAGGATGCTCAGTAAACCAAACAGAATTCCAGGCTGACTTCTGCTCAAGTCAGCCGGATCCCATTATGATATACTGTTTCCTACTTTGCTCTACTGCTTTGACATTTGAGTCAGACATTTGCTTGCAGTTTGATACATTGTAACGCTATTGCCTCATCAAGTATGCCTCCCTGAAGTGGAAAGGAAGGCAGGAGGGACTGAGGGGGATTTTGTTTGGAGTGCAGTTGTAGGATGGATGTATGCATGCTGCTGTGAAATCAACAAATTGCAAGTACTTTCCATTTCGGAGCTAAATTATCCTCAAAGATAGACTTAACATAGCCTAGAGAAGCTCACTCAGGGAGCCCTGCTTATCTATAAACAAATAGTAAGTAGTGAGAGGGACGAGACTGGCTAGTGGTTCTCTGACCTTCTCCTCTCTCTTCTTGCAGTTATCTGCACCGGTCTACTGACTGTGAGCTGAGCTTGACTCACGGAACTAAACAATTTTGATGAGACCAAGTCCTCAGGTTGCCTCTAAAAGAAATCACTGGGGCTCTGCCAGTGCCCTCCTTTTTCATCCTAAGATCGCTTTGGAAACATGGGGCTTTTACCCTTAAGTGTGTATAGAACATTGGAAAGGAAGTGGAAATTGACAGTCACTGGATGTGGCTGGCCTGGCGGAGAATGGAGTGATTCAGGTTTTATAGCCAGTCTGTTAAGAGACAACTCAATCCCAGCCTTTCCTGAGGACTTGACTACAAATGTTCCCTGCTCACTCTTCACCTCAAATCTAGAAAAACATTACACATCTGAAATCCATTCTACAGCGAGGCCACACCTGTCACAGCAGTATTGAACAGGATCTTTCTAGCGTGACATAAACAAAGGACATAGATCTCGGACTTTTACCTTAGAGGTGGTTTGCAGGGGTACTGAGACCCAGGCCATTAAAAAGACACCATCAGTGAAATGATACCAGAAGAGGGTGTCTGTATGTGTGTGTGTCGCAGACAGATAAAATGTCCCAGACAGATTAAATTAGAAATAGCTTAGAGCTTCAGAAAGCATGAGGGTTAAGAGACTTTTTAGACAATTCATAGGATTGAGACTATGACCAAGAAGAGGGTATGTCAGTAACAGAAAGACAGAGCATGAAATTACCAATCACGGTAGACATTATACATACTTTTCTGAAATTTCTTTTCTTCCTCTGTACCCCTAAGATTGATGGAAGACTGGGCCAAATGTCACACTTCTAGTCTCCAATGCAATTTCCGCTAGTCCCCCCTACAAGGGCATTTTCTTTGGCCAATGCAGCACCTGCCCTGCCAACAGTGGGTGCACTACAGATGTGGAAGGGATGGCAGAAAACCAGGAAGACGAAACTGCTGACGTCAAAACTCTCTACAAAGAACCTCCTTCCAAGCAGAGCAGCATCAGCTTTTAATGACACTCAATGTTATTGTTCCCCTTCCCTATCCAGCATGTGTCAGGGGTCCCCCTCCTTCCCCTCTGCAAATACCGGCTGCTGCTTGCAGCTTGCTACATCCTACTGGCCTGTCATGCTTCTTGTTTCATCCCTGTTTCGAACATGGGACATCCATTTTTCTAAAGAACTGCATGAGCTTCTATTATACTGGAAAAAAGTTCCCCAGTATGGGTTTCATTTTTCAGGTATGATTCCCACCTGCCTTCAACCTCACACCCACTGGAAAGTTCAGATTTTCTTGTAGCAGACCAAGCATTCTCCTCACAGCTCTTTCCCAGAGATATTTTCAATCTATTCCTTAGCGTAGTCTGCCGAGATTAATATAACCTCCAAGCACCCCTCCCATCTACTGCTTCCTTTTTAGCCACTGAACCACTCAGCCAGCACTTTTCATGCGGTCTTGATTTTCCCTGACACAGGGCACAGCCTTCTTCCTTTCATTGCCAAACTCCTCCAAGTTGAATAATTTATGAAAAGAATTGGGTTTTCTCTGTCTTGGAATGCTTCTGTCTCCCCCCAGTCTCTTCTCCTTTCCATCCCACACCCTGCTCTTCCTCTTTCTGCCTTTCATTTCTACCTTTATGTTCCCTTCCCATTATTTTCACCACTACCCAACGATGCGATCCCGTTCTTGAGTTCCAAGCTATCAGGTTCTTCTTGAAAACCCCAAATAAAACTCTTCCAAGACCATCTTCATGATTTTGGAAGGCTCCTGTCTGACTCTTGAGCTCAGAGTCCTGGTTTTGGATGCTGGGGAGGAGAGAATTCAGCAGCAGCCAGAAAGGCTTGGAGGAGGATGCTGTTTGGGGTGTATCTGAAGGAACAGCATATGGGCTTTTTGTCAAGATGTACAGAGCTCGCTAGTTTCTGAGCTGAGGACAGAAATGTGCTGCCACCTCTAAACACCATTTGAGCTGGTTCAATTCTCATCTTCTCTTGTACAACAATTGCCCCAGCTACCTCAGATCCATCATCCCTTGCCCCCTGCCCTCTGAGCTATGTGATACCGAGGAAAGTTTTTCAGTCGAGTTGTACCCCAGCTGCACCGCCCACCCTAAGAAAGCCAAACCTCTTGAATGTAAACTATGGGGTATATGCTGAGCATTGCCCCGCCCCTCCTTCCCAAAGACTCTGACACTTCTCAAGAGCTTTCTTGCTGAAGCAATTAGTTCCCATGTTCCAGCGGGAGATACCAAGTAGTGACAGAAAAGACAGGCGCTCTGGCCCAGCTGCCTGCACCCACCCTTTAGAGTTCTGGAGAACAGGCCAGAGAGGGGTACTTTCTGGGTCTCTCCCGCTCAGAACGAGGTCATTACCTGGGCAGCGGCTTGCGGGCCGTGATACTAGCAACGATGATGCTCTCGGGACGAGGAGTGGCCACCGCTTTGAAGGTTCCTCGCCAGAACTTCTCAAAAAGCTGCTTCTCCCCCTGCTGAACGCTCGCCATAGCCAACCCAAAGGGGCCGGGGCGTCCGGGTGCTGTCCGAAGTGCTGAAACGTGGATTCTGAACTGAGGGCACACCCGGCTCAGGGCGCTGTTGGCGAGAAACCCAGAGAGGTGGGGTGGGAGAGATCGGAGTTCCGGGCGGGGGATGGGGCGCCCTAGTCTGGGCAGGCAGCGGAGAAAGGAGGCTTGTCCGCCGGCTTTCTTCGCCTTCTGGGTGGCTGTGGGCTGCTCTCTAAGCTTGCTGAACTCCGCGCCCCAGGAAGGGAAAGGAGGGCTGGCTTTCTCGGCAGCGCCAGGAGAGAAGAGGCGACCGGGTGGTCGGTGTGTGCGTGCGCGTGTGAGCTCCGGCGCGCCCCGGTTTTGTCTCTCGCACAATGTGACGTTGGAAGAGGAGGCTGGTCGCGCGAGCTGCACTTTCCTCCCCCCTCCGCTGTCTCTTCTCCTCCCCACCCCACCCCCCCTTCCCCAGGCTCAGCCTCCCGCCGCCATCTGCATAACAAAAGCCCGCAGGTCTGGGGAGGAGAAAGGGCGGGGCGTGCGCCTGTCACCGGGGCCCAGCGGCCACGGAGTTGCAGTGCAGACCCCCCGGAGAAGCTATCCTAGCACCCTGAACCGAACCGGCCGGAAATGTTGCTTCCCGGAGCTCTGATCTCCTCCATCATCCCGAGCATTTCTCCAACCCTTCCTGTGCTCCCTCGGGGCGCGACCACCTCCCATCCTAGCCCCTTCGCAAGTCTTTAGGGGATCTATGGGGGGAGCAAGTAATAAACTTAACCTCAGGCCAAACCGCCCCCCCCCCCGCCCGGGGACTGGCGGGGACCTCAAAGGGCGTCCTCTGCGCGCCTCTCGGCGGCCGGGGATCGCGAGATTCCCCACCACCCAGAAAGTGCTATGTGACCGACAGCCCGCCACCAGTTCGGCTTCTCGCCATCTGCCGAGCCGGCCCCCTCCGCGCAGCCTTGCATCTGTGCCTGTGGCGCTGTAAAGGAGGTCTCTTTTGTGCCTCTCCGTCAGCCTGCCCGACGTCCCCGCTGCCAAACGCTTCCAAAGGAAGGGTACTCTTGTCACACACCCCGTCCACTCCTAGGGGATTCGGCAGCAGCCACTTTTCTTAATAACACAGCTTGTCTCGGGAAAGGACAATGTTTTGGAGAAGAAAGGTGCTTAAGGAGAGGTGGGGGCTGGCGAGGGTCTGGGTGTTAAGGGAGAGAGTAACTTTCTGGTCTTTTCTCCCCCTTTCCGTTCCCCTTTCTCCACCCCCACCCCCCTTTCAACCTAATCCCAACACGTAGAGGTTCAGGATCCCAAGTAAACTCCAGACTCATAGACTCCGGGTAGCATCGCTCTTGTTTTCCCCAGGATTTTCATGAAGAGATCTTTGCGGGACCCCTCAGTCCATCTCTCCCATGAGGGCTTTCAATTTCAGAATTGCTATCCCCTCCTACCCCTCTGAGTTGCAAACTCTCGGAAGGCGGCCTCTCTGGAGTCTTCCAAGCCTTCCAACACCTGGCAGCGGGTCCCAGTCTCCGCGGGAATAAATCTATGGTTCTTGCCGACACTGGTAGTGGTGGGGGCCCAAGGCCGGGACACCAATGTGAACTTCAGAAATTCTTTGAAAGGGAACAGGGGCAAGGGGATGGGGGTGGGAGATGGGGCAAGAGGAGCCGAAACCCTAGAATAAAATAGCATCCGGCCGGAAGTGTAGTAGGTTGGGTTTGTGTGTATCCCATGTTTGTGTGCCCGCTTGAGTCCCCGAGCGCACTGCTCGCTCTGCAGTGACCCCACCTGGTCAACAACTAGAGACGCTTTTGTTGGCTTCTGCAAGCAACCGCGGCCAGAAGGTGGGGTTAGGACTGAGATGCTTGCAAGCTCAGGAGGAGAGTGGAGAATGTGCGCGCCCTTTCACTCTCACTGCACCCTCCTGCCGAAAATCCCCCATTTCTCAACTCTTCTTAAGCCCTGTGTCCCACCCTGAAGTTGATGTCACTTTAAATGCTGCTGAGAGCTGCCTCTTTAGGTAGTTTGAGATGTTTAAAACTATCCTTAGTCATGACATTTGGGGTATGAACTGAGTCACTTGCAGGGAAGGGGTAGGTGGGGTCTACCTCCACTGGATCAATCAACAGTTCCCAACTGCATTACTGTTCTTAATTCCTAGAAGGTTGACTACACCCCCACGTGCACAACATTGCCTCTTTTGGACCAGAAAGCAGCCAGGTGAGTGAGGTGGGAGAGGAAGCTACTCATACGGCCCCGTTCCCTTTTGTGGTACTAGGGATTGAAACTTGGGCCTTCTCACTGAGCTACATATCCATTCTTTTGTTTGCATTTGCTTTTGTTTTTAGACTGAGTCTCCTTAGGTTGCCCAGACTGCAGGCGTGCACCACCACACCTGGCTGCTTATATCCTCTTAAAGATGAGGAAGATGAAGTCAAGGATGGCCAAGTGACTTGCTCAGCATCATTCTATGGGCAGCAAAGGAAGGCTGGGGAAAATATAGTTTCTGTTTCTCTTTGGGGGGTGGAGATGGGAAGGAATCTTTGGGTTACTAAGCATTTCAGGGTAAGACTACGTAAAATGCAATAGATACATAGTTAGAAGCACATCATGTTAACAAACCTTTGAGAGTTTTCAATGATACAAACAGCCCACTGTGGCATGCATGCCATAGGTTCCCCACCACTGTGTTAAGGCTTCTGAGCTGAGAACCACCTGTATTAAATTTAGGAATTAAGAATCAGCCTTTTGGGGTTCAAATTCCAGCCATTCCATTTCTTAGCTGTGTAATCTTGAAGAAGTGACTTCACTTGCTCATGCTTCAGTTTCATCAGTAACAAGAAAGTTCTCTAAGGATTAAATATATATTTATAGACTAGCTGTGAGGATTAGAAGAATGAACACATGTGCAGGCTACAGAGCAGTGTCTAGAACACATTTTAGTAAAGAATACCAGTTATTACTCAAGTGGTTAGGTGCATAGCATCTAGAGTTGGAGTTGACCACAACTAAGGTATGAAGCTCAGCTCTGCCACTTTTAGCTAGATGATCTTGAGCTAATAACTAATTAGTTTCCCCACCTGTGCAGTGGAACATCAGTGCATACTTAATATGATTTCTATGAGAATTAAATAAAATATTACTTGCGGAGTGTCCACTTCATTGCAAGTGACCTTTAAATCAGCAGTCCTGTTAGGAACGAGGTCACACAGAAGGAGATGAGTGATGGGGAAGCAAACACAGCTTCTTCTGTATTTATAGCTTCTCTGCATGGCTTGCATTACCACCTGAGCTCTGTTCCCTCTTGCCCTGTGAACTGCACATGCCAGGGACCTAGGTTGCAAGCTCCTTTTAATCATCCCCAAGCCCTCTACCCTCCACTCCCCCACCCCCCAGCCCCCGACCTGTCCATGGAAAAATTGGAAAATTTGTTTTCCACAAATCCAGTCCCTGGTGCCAAAAAAACCTGGAGACTGCTTGCAATGGTAAACTGTTGTTGCTGATGCTGTTGAAATCATTACCTGTTAATATCTTAAGCCAGGCCATGTTCAGTTCAGCAATTATGGATTGATTCCTAGGCACAATCTTGCCCAGGCACAGTCTTGGATAGGGAAACAGGGTCCCTTCCCTGGAGCAGTTCACAGTAAAATTCACCTTCTGGGTCCTCATGGCCTAATATTTGTCCTTTTTCCATATTTCACAGTGAGTTAGACTTTAGGCCTGGCTTTGCTAATACAACTCAAACTGCAGTTTCTCCATCACTTCATCACAGCGTAACTGTCTGTGTCTCATTTCCTCAGGGTATTGCTCTTTATTTTTCTAGGTGCAAGCAAGCACACCCCATAGGTGAGACCTATCAATATGCTGGTTAATGGATATAAATGCATGGCATAATTACTGCTTATCCTGTCTTCTGCCAATGGCAGGCATCACTAATTCATCTCAATCCTTCTCAACACAGTCTTCCAGACAGACATGACTAGTTGGTTGTAGTTGACATTCTATATAAAATCAGTTTGCCATTCCTGCCTCAAAGTTACTTCTTTATCTTATTGGTATTGTTGTTTCACTTTAAAAAGATGAAACCAGGGAGAAATGATTCTAGAATTTGCAAATCCAGGCACTCTAGAGGAATAGTTAAAGAGATTTGTATTGGTCAGCTTTCCCATCACTGGTACAAAATACCCGATACCTGTAATTTAAAGGAGGAGAGGTTTAATTTAGTTCACAGTTTCAGGGGATTCAGTCCATGGTTGGCTGGCTCCAAGGCAGAAACTCCATGGTGTCCGGGTTATATAGGGGAACAGTGCCAGCAAAGAAGGGGCAAGGGACCAGATAAGAGTACTCAACTCACACTTACATGTCCCACCCAGACACACCCAGAAGTGTGCTTTACAAATTCCCTAGGCAGCTCTCAAGCCAATCAAGTTGACAACTATGTTTAACCTTCACAAGATCCTCTAGTGATCCAAAGAGACAGCTGCTCGAGCTCAGCTCAGAGAAATAGTGACCCTTCTTCCTTAAGCGATTCGAATTCCACCTAATATTACTGTGTTACCTTGGGTAAATCTTGTCATCTCTCTGTGTTCTGGACTTCTCTGAGTACAATGAGGCTAATCATTATCTAGCATCATCAAAGGATTTCAAGGAACTTGACAGTCTGTACCCTTTTTCAAAAGTCCACTGAACAGTGAAAGATTCAAATAATTACTGAGCTAATGGGAAATATGATAATGAGACCAATCTGTCTTTGTGCCTTTAAACAGGATCATGCTGAACCATTAAAATAATAAGATTCTGGATTTCTTCATCTAAACATTTGTGGAAAAATATTGTACTACTCAAGGTTTATTAGTTCTTGCTTTTGGAAAGTTCAACCTGTGTCTAATCTGAATTCCACCTCTGCCATTTATTGTCCATTCCTCTTCTAGAACTCCAAATGCCTTTGAGCTAACATGGATAAACCAAGAATACTCCTTCCCTGGTTGCACAGTTTCCTATGCCTATTTGTATTTCAGGTTACCAATGTCTAGCACCTGACTGGAACATAGTAGTAGGAGATTGGTAAATGTTGTTGTAATGAGTAGATTCCATATACAGTAGATGGCTATACTAATGCCTATATTCCTCTAGCCTATATGCAATGAGGCATGATTTTATACTCACACGTAACAAATGAAAATATAAAATTCACTGTGCACTGGTATTGTATACATTTATTTAACTGTGATCTAAGGAGAGAAAATTGATTACAAATGACATTAAATGATAACTGTCATTGTTGATGCTATTGTAATCATCACCTGTTAGTATCTTAAGCCAAGTGATGTTCAGTTTGATAAGTATTAATTGATACCCAATCATGGATCTTAGTCTCAGTCTTGAGTAGGGAGGGCCAAAGATAAACATGTATATTATAGGTATTGT